AGAACATCTTAACCCTACTGAAGGTTTGCAGTAATGAAATTGTCAGGTGGTATCCCCTTTCTCTTTATTTCCAGCTGAAATTCCTGACCCTGACCTGGTTTTCTTTGAATTTATTTTTAAATCCCCTGCTGTCAGCTTTGACGGTGTACGACAGAGCCAGCACAGGTGCTGTGAGCTGCTGGGGGAGGCAGGAGGGTAACCACGGCTTGGCAATCTCACTGGGAGGGAAAAGCATGGGTTTGTGCTAGGCACTGCTCATTCTGTCAGGCTTGGATCCGGATTGCTGATGCTTACAAAAGGTAGTTTGCCTGCTCCTGTGCAACTGTACAGCACGTAATGCCGATTGGCAGAGCTCCCAGTGCAGCTCTTTTCTTCTTTTAGAGCTTTCCTCCGAATCTGCTGAGTCGTCTAGTTCAGAGTTCTCCAGCTGAAATGTTCCCGTGCCCTTCCCTGGCTGCTCAGGTCTCCAGGCTTGGACTCCGTGGTGGCAGTACTGTGGGTAAAACTGCCACCCTGTTTCTCACACCACGGGCGGAGAGGGCAGTGCTTCTGCTTTCGTGAGAAGGCAATCTGGTTTTGCCACTCCTTACACCGCCTGACCAGTCCTTGGGCTCCTGCGGTGACGGGAGGCAGCTCCGTGTCCGGCCAGTGCTCTCGGGTACGTGAACCACTCTGTTTGGGCCTGTCCCTGCTTCTCCTTGAGCGGGGGAACCCAGGGGGATTTCTTTTTTTGCTTGATTTTGAGTTCCTGGATAAGGTGTTGTGGATTAGACACTCCAATGGCACGGTGTCTCATTTGGGTTTAGGATGTTTGGAAATGGGGTGTAGACACTATTCAAAATCCTTCAAAGGAGATTGTCCCTTAATACATACGGATAAGACAACCATCCAAATATGTGGGAATTCTTCTGGTTCCAGTGCTTAGGAGACCCTGCAGAAGGGACATTTGAACCCGAAGTTTTCTTCCTTCCTCCCTCTCTACCCCTGACCCCTGGGATACAATGCTTACAGGAAGGGAAGGTCCTTTTCCTTTGCGAACGGTACCCAAATTTCCTTGTATTCTAAAGAGTATTCTTCAAGTGTAAATGCTAAGATGCCAACCTTCTTGCATCTTAATCTTTCTGGTCACAAATATTGGATGGCTTGACCAAGTTGCTGGATAGAGTGGTTCAATCTGTGTTTCCGGATGTGAACAAACGAATCGCTAAAAAAGCCCACAGAAACAAACCTGTTCCCAGCCAAAATATACTGTGAGTACCTGAGCAAGGACGCTGATGTTGCTCCTTTTCGAAGGAGTGCTACTGACGGAATAATCTGCCTCCACAAGTAGGTGAATTAAAGTTCCTCTGTTGTCACCTGTGAGGGTGAAAAGATTTTGCAGGCAGTGAGCTCTTACTGGACTTGGCATTTCTTTGTCTGTTTTAGCTTCAAAACCACACAGGTATATGGAAAAAATCATTAGCTGTAACTCATGAGCTCTCTTCAAGCAACTGCAGACCTTTAAGAATGGGCAGTTCTCGTCCCGTGACGTGAAGCCTGGGTTGTAAGCTGTCGGGTTCGCGCAGTGCGAAACTGCAGTTGAAGCCGGCAGGTAGAGGCTGAGCAAGCACCCCCAGAATGAACCCACCGCTACCAGTTACATTTGTCATCTTTAAGCCTAAATTAACTCCTCCTTTGTGAACGTGTCATTATGATGTGAATGTCCCAAGCCTCACCTTAAATTGGTTTCCTTTCCCCTTTTCAGCCAGACTCTGCCACTGGAAGAAATACTAATAGATCTCAGAATTGAATGTGAGCATTGACATGGTGGAAATTACTCTTTTAAGGTTATAAAATGCAAAAATTCGCATGGTCTCTTGGAGAGCAAAAGGATGAAGGTGCTTAAAGGCACTGCCAGAGGTATTGAGATGCAAAACCCAGCAGCTCTTGTTAAAAACTGAAATATTTGCGTTGCTTTCCGTGAACTAGAGTGGAAGTGCAACAGGAGGTAGGAAAAAATCTGCCACCTATGATCTTCATTTCTTACTGGTGTAAGAATGCCAGATGGGAGTAGGCTTTGTTCCGTGCAACTGCTGAATCACCACAGTTCTCCCACCCGGCCGGGGATGGAGGGAGCAGGGGTTTCCGTGGGCGGCTGCTGCCCGCCCTGCGCTCCAGGAACGCTGCCCCTCTCGGGAGGAATGGCTGGGACTGGCTGGAGAGCTGGTGGCGGAGGCTTGAACGCCCTTCCTGAGGACTAACCTCAGGAAGAGTGGTGAGTTACTTGTTTATTCTGTACCCCTGTGCTCAGATACCCCCTGCATCCCTCTCTAACAACGCGTGGGGAGGTGGGGTGCCAAGAGGGCGAAGCCAGATGCCGTTGTCGCAAATCCCGTACTTGGAGTTCGCAAGCGGCTGGGGCGTCTCGTCCTGTGCTTGGGGCTACGCCGCGTTGTGTAGCGTGCGCCTCCTTCGCAGGCGTGCTTTCCTGCGTTTAACCTGAGGGATTGCTTCTGTGGGCTCTTCCCCCTCGCTTCCTTGGCCCTTGGTAAAATGGATTGTATCTGACAGTATAAATAGAGACGTGGGGCAGTTCTCCCTCACTCTTCCGTCGGCGAGAATACCAGTAGGGTTACAGAAGGATCCGGGCGCTGTTGAATATTCGTGGCTAGCATTTGTGATGGCTTGTGACCTTCCGAAGAGGTGGCTGAAGGTCTGGGTTTGACCGGCTGGCCAAAAAGCTTTAAAATCAAGTGTTTCAGTACGTTGTGATGTTTCCCCTTTTCTGTAAATTTAGGTATGTGGTGGATTTGCTCATCAGGGGAAGGGTGAAATTCAGCAAAGGAAAAAAAAAAAAAAAGCTGGCTTTGGTTTCTTTGTGATTCATGCCGACAGCCTTAAGAACAAATAATTGAAAAGTGGTACTAGAAAAGCATTTTGAGTCTTCTTATAGTTTCTTCTACTTTTTGAGCTTTTGTTCTTAGTGTTTTAAGTTTTCCTGTTCAACCTCAATGTCAATAAATCCAGTGGATGATTGTGTACATAATGTTGCTTAATTAATGTGAAAGTAAGGGGTTTAAGACATCAAAATTTCTACTATGTTGTCTACCTTATTGCATCTTACCTGTCAAGTTTATCCTGCGATGATGTGAATACTCGGTACACGCTGCCTGTCTTGGCTGCTCATCAGCAACCACGTCACGTGCTGAAACAGCTGACGTGGGTGGACGAGTGTTAATACCAAGACTTACAGGGGTGTGTAGGGATCTGTATGTAACCAGTCTCTACATACAATGAAAGAGTGATCTCTTCAGGCGTTAATTTCTGAAAAGCAAAGAACAGATCAAAAACTTCCCTGATGTTTGGGTCAATAGGATTGTTGTAATTTGGAAAGCACAAAGCAAAGAATAGAACCACGGAATGGTTTGGGTGGGAAGGGACCTTAAAGCCCCCCCAGTGCCACCCCTGCCATGGGCAGGGACACCTTCCATAGCCCAGGGTGCTCCAAGCCTCACCCAGCCTGGCCTTGGACACTCCCAGGGATGGGGCATCCACAGCTGCTCTGGGCAACCTGTCCCAGTGCTCCCCACCCTCTGCGGGAAGAATAGGTGACGTATGCAACAGCGTTACAGATTCATCAAGGAGATAGTATTTTGATTTCTTGTTCTTAGCTGCTAAATGATGTGAGGCAGATGAAATCTCTCTTAAAATGGAAGATGAAGGGAGAAAATGAGAAGGGCCAAAGCCCAACAAGCACTTAGTCTCGCTCCAACTGTCAAAGACAGTAAAGGCATAAAAAATGTTTCTGTAAATACATTAACAACAAAAGGAAGGCTGAGGAGCACCTTCAGCCTTCATTGGAGTTGGGGGAACATAGTGGAAAAGGTGAGGAAAAGGCTGAGGTACCTAATGCCTTCTTTGCCTCCGGGGTTTCAGAGATGTGTGGACGAGGCACCTGGGGACATGGGTTAGTGGTGGTATGAGCAGGGTTGGGTTAACGGTTGCACTCGATGGGCTTACAGGACTTCTCCAACCTTAACAATTTTATGTACTTGTAGAATGTTTACCTAATTACGTTTTTAGTGAGAAGTGTCCTCTCTCCTCAATGAAATAATATGTATTTGTTAGCTTGCATCCACAATGTTGTATTCTCAAAACATCTGTTTTTTTCTCAACAGGTAAAAAGTACATAGAAATAAAAATGCCTGGACTGGACCATGGAGCATTCTTCACAACTCATTGGATTAGTGACATAAGTATGTATGCTATCCTCTTCAGCTTTAATTGTCTTATCACAGTCTAGAATAAAACTACTTATCACAGAATCACAGGCTGGTTTGGGTGGGAAGGGACCCTAAAGCCCACCCAGTGCCACCCCCTGCCGTGGGCAGGGACACCTTCCATAGCCCAGGGTGCTCCCAGCCTCATCCGACCTGGCCTTGGGCGCTCCCAGGGATGGGGCATCCACAGCTTCTCTGGGCAACCTGTCCCAGGGCCTCCCCATCCTCGTAGTTGTAAAAAATGTCTTCCCTTACATCCAATCTGAATCTGCCCTCTCTGTAGTTCATAAGTGTTTCCCCTTGTTCTGTCACTACAGGCCCTTGTAAAAATATCTCTGTTTTCCTCAAAATCCTCCTTTATGTACTGAAGGGCTGCAAGCGGGTGTCCCTGAGACAGGAACAAGAACACATATATTGCAACTCATGCGTTTCTGTCTTGTAACTTAGTAAGATTCCAGTGAACCCAGTTTGAAGTGAATTGTTCTGTACATTCACATATTAAAAAAACCCTTATAAATCCACTCTTTGTAAACAGACAAATGGTTAGTGTTTCGTATATCATTTCTACCAGCTTCTGTTTGTTTCAAGTTTGTATTCACCGACCAACAGTCTCTCTGTTATGGCAACTTTTAATGTTCAAAGCACACTGTTTCTCGTTTCTACCTACAATGCTTTCATTTGATGACTCACGCTTCAAATATTCATCTGAAGTTTGAAATTACTGTTTTGTCTGACAACCAGAAAACCTGGTTCTTCCCATGAGAAATGGCCGTTGTGGCCAGAAGTATAAACCTGTTGACTACGAACATCTCTATGGACTTGCTGCGGCAGAAAAAATGGCGTCTGCAAAAGCTGAATTACAGGTATGATTTTGATACTGTTTGTAAGGTGAGTGGTTTGAAAATTCGGTTATCTTATTTCCTCTCACTACCCAAGGAATCTGAGAAGGAGTATGGATAACAAATAGCTGTAAGAGTGTTCAGGAGAAGGGGGCAAAGATGAGTTTACCACCGTTAGCGTTAATGGGCTTTGGCCTCGTTAATGTCAAAGTGTGGAATTCTTTGTATCAGATGGAAAACAGGTGTGGATTCTGCTTCCCAAGAAGACAGGAGGAGTTTGTATTTGAGGGTTTGAGGAAGTTCATCCAGATGCAGTACATAAACTGCCCAAAATACTGACGGTAACGAAGACTTACGGGAATAAACGGGGAGTTTGATCCAGAAAGAAAGAAAACAAACCGCAGAGAGCTGAAGTGAGGATTTGCAAAAGTGAAGCTGAGTTAGATCAGGACATGGAAATTAGAAGGGTTTTATAGCCATAAAGTATAAATGTAGAGCTAGACAGTCAGAAAGGTACAAACAGCTGCGATACGGCCTGAATGGTAAATAAAAGGCAGTTTTTTGGTGCTGGTAACGTTTCATGAGAACTCTACGTTTGTTAAGCAGGATCATCTATGATGTGTGGGCAAAGCAGGGTCACTGGCTGAACTGAAGGAAGTTGAAAATAGCAAAGCAATTTAGTCTGTTAGGAAAGAGATACAGTTTTGGAAGCATTTTTGGCAATGATAGCCCAAAGTCGTCAATGAGTTGCAAGTTAATTGGAGTACGAGGTGAAGAGAAGAACCCGTAAACCCAGTAAAATCTGTATGCTGAAAGCTCCCCAGAGGATAGAGTGTGTTCCCTCCGGCCTTTTTGGTGCTGATTCAGGCTATCCAGACTCTGAAGTGCTGGGTAACTCCTCCGCTGAGGGAGAGCCAGAGAAGCAAACGGTAAATCCGTTGCTGACCATTTAAAAAGAGGAATACAGCACATGCAGAAGCAGCGTAATGTCGCAGCAGTGACGCAGTGGCGCTGCCGTCGCTATAAGAGCGTGTCAGACGTCTTGTGCAGGTCTACCTCAGCTCCTGTTTCGCTTTAGTGTTAGAACTGCACGTGTATCTGTTTTCATGTGGCGTTAAATACCGGACTCTGTCTGCTGAGGTCTGGTTTGAAGCACCCGGTGGGAACCAAGGGGAAGCTGTAAGCAGCCTCTGAAACCGGAAAGTATGTCAGCCATAAAAATGAGACGTTCTCTGACACAGAAGCACGACTGAAAGCATAAAGGTGTTGTAAACTATGTGCAGTCACATATGCAGCTTCCCGGGAACACCTTGGTTCTCACAGTCACGTGATCTCTGTGGCATCTCCTGCGACTTCGTACCAGAACAATACCCCCGAGGGGGGCTTGCAGCAACCCCACAACGATTAGCCACGTCCTGGTTGTGATTCTTCTGTCTGACTGTCTGGAAACCAGATGTGTTCAACCAGGTATATTGAACTCGGATTCATTGGAGAGCTGTAAATGCTTCTAGTGTCGAAATTTGAGGTGTTTTATCTTAAGTAACACTTCAGCTTTGGTGGGTGAATGAGACGCTGATTCCAAGACGTTTTTCCCATCTTTGTTTTTTGAGAAGTGATTCCAGCCATTCCAGCTTCCTCGGGGAACTTCAATGCATCTGGGCAAACACACGTAGCGTGGGGAGTAAACCAGAGGAGTTGGAGATGAGCACACGCCTGCGGGGCTGGGAGAGTTGGGGGGTTCAGCCTGGAGAAGGGAAGGCTCTGGGGAGACCTCAGAGCCCCTTCCAGTGCCTGGGGGGCTACAAGAAAGCTGGGGGGACTTTTTCCCAAGGGCAGGGAGTGACAGGACAAGGGGTGAGGGGTTTAAACGGAAAGAGGGAGATGGAGATGGGACATCAGGAAGGAATTCTTCCCGCAGAGGGTGGGAGCGCTGGGACAGGTTCCCAGAGAAGCTGTGGATGCCCCATCCCTGGGAGTGTCCAAGGCCAGGCTGGATGAGGCTGGGAGCACCCTGGGCTATGGAAGGTGTCCCTGCCCATGGCAGGGGTGGGGCTGGGGGGGCTTTAAGGTCCCTTCCACCCCAAACCATTCCATGGTTCTAAGTGATGGGATTTTGCGTACCTGCGGGTGGGCGTTGCAGAGAAGAGCTCTATGTCTCTCCTCGCTGAGAAGCTGCGGGTATGGCTGGCGCCGGGGGGGGGGGGTTGGGGGACGGGGAACACCCCTGCAGGGTCTGCTCTCGGGTGGTGTGTGTGTGAACACAGAGGGCGTACGGTGTGCTTGTGTCCAGGCAGGACAGCTGACCGAGCATTCCGGACGGAGCACCTTGCTTCCACCGAAGCCAAGGGGAAACTCAGCAGTTTTGACTCGGAATATAATTTCTCTCCTGAACTAGATGTGGCATGAGATCTTTATCTGTTTTTCCTGGTTATGAGCTGGGGTTTCCAAATTTTTTATTGCCTTGCTACCATTCTGCAGTCGAGTAACTTGTTGACCTGAAGGAAGGGCTGGGGGGGAACTGGTGTGTGTGGACTGTGCAGCCTCTGGAATGAGGAGGGGGTTTGTAGGGAGAAGTTGGCTGGGGGAGGTGGCGGCAATGCAGTGAGAGAAGGAGCCGGCTCCCAGCTGGAATGCTGCGTTGTCCTGGGTATCCCGAGAGGCCGGCGGCAGTCGGGAGGATGGGAGAGAACTGGTGTGTCTCAGGCGCCTCCGGGAGCCCCAGACGGCTGCTCATCCTTTCTGCTTGGCTGCTGGTTGGCCGCAGTCATCTGGCTGCCCCTTCGTTAGCCTTTCCCCGTCGGCTTTCTGCTTCTTCAGGCAGTAACTCCTCTCTCTCAGCAGCTTGTCTTTCTGCTTCATCGGAAGCTGGAAGCAATGTTTTTGTGAAGCCCTCAGACGGTTTCAGAGCCACTTCAATTGGGCAGGTTTTGAAAAAGCACTCTTTTAGACTGATCAATTTTTGAAATTCTTTCTCTTGAAAGACACACTTTCACTCTCTCATCTTCCCACCTGTAAGAAAGTGTATTTTTCTTTCTCCTGCTCATCTTCCCCCCTTCACCTTCTGGGGGAATAGGGATGGGAAAGAAAAGGAGAAAAAGAAGAAAATGAACTGAGGTTTTTTCCCTTTCTCCTCTCATTTAATTGTGATTTGAAACGGAGTAAATTTTTTTTCATGAGAATTGGTTACATTTGAACCCATTGTTCTTTAGAAAAACACAGGTTTGAGAAAAGCTTTTAGGTTCACCTTTCTGTAGTTAAAAGTTTCCGTGTGAAGGCGTTTGATAAAGCTGTTGCACAGATTCAAAACACTTACAAGCTTTAATTTTTCCTGCAGCTTAAAAAAATGGAGCAGGTTTCCAAAACTAAGAGAGAGCAACTGCTGCTGAAGCAGCACCGGCAGGTGTGGCGGCAGGAGCACGGCAGGCTGAGCGAGAGCAGGTGAGAGCTTTTTTGCCAGCCGTTGCCGAAGGAGCACTCGGGGCGCCGGGGCGGCCTCCTGGGCTCAAGGAGCATCGAGGGGGAAAGATGAGCGTACCTGAAGTGCAGGTCGTGGTTTGGCAGGCCCGAGGGTTTGTGATGTACATTGGAGGGGGTCCTGAGGAGAGCACGGGGAGGGGGAGCAGCGGGTGTTGTTCTGCGTGTGCCTCTCCATGGTCTCGTCGCTGTTCCTTGACCTGCCAGCGCCTGAGGGACACACACTGTAGGATTCTCGGTGATCCAGGCCCTTTTCGGTTGCCCCAGCCTGTCTGTAGGTGTGCGCGTGGGGCTCGCACAGGGGGACAGGGGTGTTGTTCCTGGCTGTGGGCTGCCCTGATGTACATACAGCACGTCGAGAGCGGTTTTTGCTTGGAGCGGGGGGCTCCCATCCCACCTTCGTGTCCAAGTTCTCCCCCTTTTTGCTTGATTTTACTACAGTATTTGAGCCTTATCATTCTTGAAAACTTAATGAATAAGAAATTACAGCCTCTGTAAAACTCATATTAATACCTTCCAGGCAAAAAGCAGAAGCAGAAATAAAGATTTTTCTTGATGAAGAAAGTCATAAGCACAACTATTTCTTGGATGTGAGGGATTTGGGTAAGGATTTTTAATTCATTTCTTGGTTATTTTATTATAGTCAAAATTATCTTGATTATCTGAGTTTTTTAATTCCTGTCTGAACAGGCTGAGATTTAGAAAGCACAGTGCTGTCATGTATTTTGTGTTTGAGAAAGCTTTATGTTTCATTTGGATATAGAGCATCAGTTATCAAAGGAGCGGGATGCATACCAAACAAATACTGTGGTTCCTGTCTGGCAGCTAAGAGAGGATTTGAAATTCAAGCTGTGTGAATGGCAGCGGTGCCTCTCGGCAGAGGCTCGTCTGAATTCTGAGATCAATCCAGTCGAGATGTTACAGCAGGTTGGCATTTTAACTGTAGTTTTACAGTTTTTTAGCGTTTTAGTTTATTTTTACGTAATACTGGGAGCATATAATTCACATTCAGAGCATCCGGTAGCCTCTCTCTGTGCCATAGCATAAATCTGCTTCTCCAAAATCTGTAAAAGCATGGCAGTGTGGAACTGCCACTCAGGCTCTTTGTTTCGAAGTGAGGGCTTTCGTACTACAGCGAGATAAAGAGGTAACAGTGGCTGTTTTGTGAAATAGATCACCCTTGTGAAGAAGCAGCAGAAGGCTATTTTGGAATCCCTTACCCATGAAAGTCTGGCTTTGGAAAGAGAGCTTGAAGACTATAAAACAAAAGTAAGCTTTTCTTTATAAGTTTAATTAGCAATTTTTTTAGAGAAAATGCAGTGCAGAGCAGTCCGCTGAGTAGCGTTTTTTTCATCACAGGCATTAGCAGATCCTTCTGAAGAGAAAAATGGACTTTTCCTTGAAGTTCCTTCAGCACTACTGTCTTTGGAATGCCCCTACCCTGAGCTGAAGACCGTGGTGATCACTGAATACCAGAAGCTTGCAAGTGGGTACTGGGCTAAGCTTCAGGAGGTTGATGAGCAGTTAAAGATGCTGCGTAGGTAATGCCGTCTGTTTCTGGATTCACCTGGGGAACAGAGCAAATGACCCTGCTGCTCTTTGTCATCTGCACACCCCTCACCGCTGGAGTTGGTTCTGTTCCTGGGAGTGTCCCAGGCCAGGCTGGATTGGGCCTGGAGCAACCTGGGCTATGGAAGGTGTCCCTGCCCATGGCAGGGGGTGGGACTGGGTGGGCTTTGAGGTCCCTTCTAGCCTAAACCATCCCGTGATTCTGCGATTTCACGCCGGGCAGGGATGGTTGACGCACGGCCCAGCTCTCTGGGGTTAAGTGGTCGGTGTTTGCACAGCTGAGAGAATGGAGGCAGTCCTTGCCAAAGCTCTCATCTGAAATAATAAGCGAAATGGCTTTTTGGATTAAAGAACCAACAGTCGGGTGTGTATCAAATGTCCTCTTCACATGCCTTTGGATAGAAATGATTCTGTGTGGCAATTACGCTACCAAATTCATGCCAGAGAAGTGCACTTTCTGAGAGGTCTAGAACGCGTTTGTCTATAAAGCAGATAAATAGGTCCAGTCTTTTCACAGGCTGTGGATCACTGTACTAATTCTCATCACAAAGATGTGTAAGAATTATATGGAGCTATGCTTCAGAATAACTGCAGGGAGGGGAGATTCTGTAAATGACAGGGTTTATAGGAAGAACATAAATAGTCATAATGATCCAGGAGTGTAACATACCTGTGTATATTAATAGGCCTTTTAGTATTATGTACCTGAAGGGGCTACAAGGAAGCTGGGGGGGACTTTTTCCAAGGGCCTGTAGTGACAGGACAAGGGGTAATGGGTTTAAATTGAAAGCGGGGAGGTTTAGATTAGATATCAGGAAGGAATTCTTCTTGGAGAGTGTGGGGAGCACTGGGACAGGTTGCCCAGAGAAGCTGTGGATGCCCCATCCCTGGGAGTGTCCAAGGCCAGGCTGGATGAGGCTTGGAGCAACCTGATCTATGGAAGGTGTCCCTGCCCATGGCAGGGGGGTTGGAACTAATTGACCTTTAAGGTTCCTTCCAACCCAAACCATTCTATGATCAGGTTTTCTGCTGAGGCAGCTGAAGTCCAGGAGATACAGTTGCAGATATTGGGCCAGCCTTGACCTCTTTTTGCCACCTACTGACATCAGGCTGGCTTAGAACGGCATCAGGTTCTCAGAGGGCTGAGAATCAGAAGCTCAGAGCAGTTGCTTGGAGCCTGGGCAGAAGAAACTGGGGAGAAACAGGAAAGTCCCTAAGTTTCTGTGGTGAAACAATCACCTGCTGGTTCTGATCTCCCTCTTTCTCTAGACACACCTACTTTTATTTAAGGGGCACTTAAATCTTCTGCCAGTGCTGCTGAAGTAGTCTGGAGGTGCTGGCATGGGTTTAAGATGGATCTCAGGGAAAGTGACGTTGTAATTGATTGTGACTGTTGTAATCTTGTCTAAACCGTAGCTATTCTGTAGGTTCTTTCTGGTCTGAAAGCTGCACGTTACTGCCGTAATGTCCTAGCTGTTTAGCATCTTGCTTGCTGAAGATGGTGCCGATCCTTCCCACACCGGCAGCAGTTATTAAGCAGCACGTGGCAAATACACAGCCGTTCCTTTGCTGATCTCTGGTGTTCCGTTACAGTTCCTGCTGTGGAAGAAGTTTTAACAGCCCCTAAGTAAATCTCTGAAAATACGAAATCATATGTACAATGTCTTTCTAGTGGTTTAGTTAAAATTGTGTTAAAGCTGACGAACAACACAATTCTGGTGAAAATTCAGAAGTTTGAATCCCTTGATCCATGCAGCACGTGTGCTGCTGGATAATAAACAGCAGTGTAGACACCAGGATTCATGGAGATGCCCGAAAAACCTGCCATGGTATTTTGGTTGTTCATCTGCCGGGTTTGAATGCAGCCCTAGAGCTAGCTAACCTGGCTGACAGCTCAGTAGCAGCCAGACTTACCAGTGTGCTGGTTTAGGGAGAGCATGTCCGTTGTAGGCATGAAAACATCCGCAGCGGTGCAGTGACGGCACCAAGGTACGATACCGAGTGGGAAGAGGCAACGGGTGTAGCAGGAAGAGATGCTGGTGGCAGTGGCAGCAGTCTGCTGGTGGGTGTAAGGGCAGGTTGTGTGGGGCAATTTACCCCATTTGGGTCGGCGTCTGCCGGTAGCGTTAGCTGAGAAACCATAATGAACCAGCAGCAATTACCACAGGCATTTTACTTCAAGCAGGAGCTTGGTCTCTTTTTGTTCACTTTCTGGTCTCCAAGTCTTTAATGAACTGCTCATTTACATTCCTGGGATTTTATCCACAATGTGTTTTCAGTAAAAAACCCCAAGACTCTGTTCTCGTGGAATTGCTTACTTTCCAGATCAGGGGGTTATGGAAGACAACGCTGTCACTTCTGACATTGCTGTTGGCTGACTTGCATGAAAATGTGTTGTGAGTCTGCAGAGACAGAGCCTTCTGGTTGAAGTGTTCTGTAATCTCTCGAGCTGACTGGCCCAGCGACCCCAGGTCATAGTGTGGGGAACTGCGGGGCACATCTCTGACCTTGGTATCTCTCCGCCGTGCTCTTACCGTGGCCTCAGTGAAGCCTTTGCGGTTGTCGTCGTTGCCTGCACCCGACGGTACCACCCGTACCTCTGCGACACGTTTTTTGGGCAGTTGCTCGGTCGAAGAGTGTGGCTGTACGACACCCCGGTACCCTGCTCACGCCATCCGAGGGTCACTCTGTTCTGCCCCTCTCCCACGCCTGCGCGTGCAGCAACGAAACCTTGAGCTGTAGCCTGCCGGCACTGCGCACCGCGGTGCTGGCCGCTCAGGCCATCTGGAGCGGAAAGGTTGGAAAACGTGCCTAGAATTTCCAAAGGAGAAAAATCAGAATAAGATACTGTTCTGGCCTGCTATGTTCTTTGGGTGCTTTTCAGTCCCACTAGAGAGCATTTCACAGTGTTTATTGCTTTTACAAACTGAAGAATAATTTGTTTTTTTCCAAGCATAACATTAGGATTACAATGTTTTATAATCTAAATTCTTTTACTGCTGCTAAAACACACGTTTCTGTGTTTTGGAAAGACCCAAGTCCTGAGTTACCCCACAAACTCTGGACTCGGAACTGTTGTGTTTGTTATAGCTGCTGATTCTCTGAGCACTCTTGCATTGTTGCTGCAATTTCCAAGGCTCTCCGAAGTCCGTAGGTAACCGAAGGAGGAACGGAGATTGCACGTGCAGCACTGTGCCCTCTGCAGCACCCTCTCAATGGATGGGACTGAGTCAGGTGGATTTTGTTCCTCTTTTCAGGCCTATTGCCAGATGTTTCTGGTACAGCCATCAGCAGTGACACAATTAATGGTCGCGGAAGAGACCCTCTCACTGGGTGGTGTTGTGGCAGTCCGGGTGGCTGCGGGGTCACCAAGCTGCAGTGCGTGGAGCACACACTATTGCCAAGGCTGTGTGGGATTAGAGGGTGGAGAGGGTAGCTTCCCTTCCGAGTTGTCTGTGTTCCTGAGAATGTGTAAAGCCAGGGATTAATGCTGGGTAAATCTGCTCCAGAGGAAGCAGCTGCCTCGGGGTTGTTGAAGAGAAGACAATTGCTGTGTTTCTGTTCTGAAACAAAATAAAGATGGTGCTGTTTGCCGGTGGAGTGACACGGATGAGAAAAGCAAGTGCTGAATTTAAAATTTGGATCATGCGTGCAGCCTTGTGAAACTTTATCAATATCTTGACACTGGAGAAGGCTGATATTACCTTAAATATTAATGTAAAATGTGTTGGCAGTTTTCAAACTCATTTTAGATGAGATCTTCCTTTCTGGAATGTTACAGAAGTTGAAGTGAGGTGACATCTTGAACTCAATCATCAGGGTATTTTGAAATTCTCTGCATGTCTAATGGTTACGGATACACTGGGCTGGATCGTGCTGCCTTTCTTTTTGTGTTGGCTATTTGTCTATGAACAGCTGACAAAATCTGAGTGCAGCTGCCAGATCTGGGCACAGCTGCCAAACTGCGGCACTGGCAGTGCTCAGCCCTACTCACAATAAACTACTTGTAGTTCAGCTGTAGCTGGTTGCACCCCAGAGCATCTCGCCCAAACCTTCATTTCTCCATCTTCTTCCCGAGCAGCGTAGAGGTTCATTGTTAGCTGGCTGTTGGGGGTTGTTCAGCTCAGCGGGAGCCTCGATGGAGATGAGGCAGAGGAAGCAGAAGGTGATGCAGCAACAGGTTCATCCGCCCTTGCGTGCCAGAGGCGGAGGAGAGCACCAGGCCGGGCTTGAGACCACAGAATCTGTGCTTTGCCTTGCTCTTGAGTCTGTGGTGCGATGTTCCACGGCCAAGATGTGTCTCAGTCTTCCTTGCTCTTCTTGTAGACAGAATACCCGGATTTGTTCACAGACTTGTGTGGTCAGAAATACCTAAGGCAGGTTGTTACGAAAGAGAATCTCAAGGCTCATAACTGTCGGTACTGTCACTGAAATAATGTGTTCTTACAGCACCATTCCAGGGTGTATCAGGACTCACAGAATTACAGAATCATAGAATGGTTTGGGTTGAAGGGACCTTAAAGCTCACCCAGTGCCACCCCCTGCCATGGGCAGGGACACCTTCCATAGCCCAGGGTGCTCCCAGCCTCATCCAGCCTGGCCTTGGACATTCCCAGGGATGGGGCATCCCCAGCTTCTCTGGGAACCTGTCCCAGTGCTCCCACCCTCTGCGGGAAGAATTCCTTCCTGATGTCCCATCTCCATCTCCTTCTTTCTGTTTGAACCCGCTACCCTTTTCCTGTCACCCCCTGCCCTTGGGAAAAGTCCCCCCCAGCTTTCTTGTAGCCCCCCAGGCACTGGAAGGGGCTCCAAGGATCGGAAGGCTGCAGAAGAGGATTACTGATTGCTTTCAGAAATTACAAGAGGTAGGTCAAAATCCAACCCATAAACTAGAAAGACGATGCCAGGCGTTAACGGTGGGTTTGTACCCCCTTAGTCCAGCATCAGTAGGAGCAGTTGCAGTGAGAGGTTTAAAACGCGGCAAAGAATAATTAATTTGTGAAAGCTATTCTTCAGAAAGCCAGTACTTCAGAACACCAAATTATGACACACAGATTCCAGAGTTCATAAAAGGATGATTTCCTAGAAAAGCTCCCTCTAGAGAAAAGGGGGAGTTAAAAACATGAATTTCTGAGGATCAGCTGCAGGTCACTTTTCTTGAAGGCAGCAAATGTTGCTGAAATGGCCCGGCTTTGCTGCCTGCCCCCCGTGTCAGAGCTGGGGGACGCTTGTCCCTGGAGAGCTGTCTGCTGTTGGAGAGCTGCAGCCCGAAGGTTCTCAGGTATTACTGCAGCCCTTGCCCCCCTGAGGGGTCCGTGGCCCCGCTTCACTTCCCGGGGCACCGTTCCTTGCGCCGAGGGTAGGAACACCCTGGCCCATCCCTGTTCGTTGTCTGTCATGGCCAATTCAGACCGTCCCCCGTAGAGCCCCTTCCATTGCTCTTCTGCTGTTGCTGGTGTAATTTCACGCTTTACGTTGGCTCCAGCGTTCGCTGGGCTTGTCTGTCGCTGCACGAAAACTTCCTATGGGCGCTAGAGCCTTTCTCTCCCCGTTTCGAAGCCGCCTCCGATTCTTCTCGCGGAAGGGAAACAGGTGGGCGGTATGAATGCGTCTGTCACGTAAGCTCGTCGGAACTGCCTCCTTCCACAGCTTCCTTAATGTTAGCCTCCTAATGAGCCCGCACGTCAGGGTGGTTAGCTGTTAATTGCGTATGAGCGTCTGGCGGTCGTTAAGTGCCGGCTGTTCCTGCCTGCGTAAGGGTGGGGGGTCCTGGTGTTGTGCCGGGGGCAGTGCCCTTCAGTGCCAGGCGTCGCTGCTGCCCTGGGCAGCCCGAGAGCTGCAGCCCTTGGGGCTGCAGGAATTTGGGGGGTGTGGGGCAGAGTCATACAGCTGCCGCCTTCTAATTTTCCCGAGGTTTGTAGTCGCGTTTGAAAACGGGTCACTGGGATCGAGAGACCTTTTGGTGTGGCTCAGAGTCGCTGGCGGGTCACGGCTGACAACAAAAGCCTGACGTTAATCCTCTGGAGGCCAAGAGTTGGGTTGGGAGGAAGCGCTAATCTACTCCATCCAAACCGGTGGCACTCCCTTTGGATTTTATGTTACTTCTCGCCGCTCTCGGGTAATACAGCGTGCGTGCTGATAACCACACCCCGTTTTAAACAACCGTGAATCCTGTGCCCTGCGCATGGGTTTCGGGCTGTCGGAAGTTTGGTTTTCCGCTCCCTCCAGCTCCTCCAGGTGTGTCGCTTCATTCGCCGCCTCTCGGTCACGTGTGTGGTGCTCAGTGGTGGAGACCGATCGCCATCCTCCCTCGTCACGCGGCATTTTCCGTGGGTGTGACTGTTCGTTACTGTAACGTAGCTGAGAAACGCAGGATCGTTCCCGGTGAAAAGCCGGGTCAGAAAAGGACCAGTCCGCTCGGGTGACGGCGCAGTAAGTGGTCCCATCAGAAAAGCTGTAAAGGTGTGCTTTGTTTCCTTGAAGTAAATCGAAGTTTCTCCGCTCTGACCCAATGCCCAGTTTACAGGTTCAGGGTTGTGAGGCCTTTAAACGGAAACCAGAACCGACCTCCTCCTTTTCAGATGTGAAGTTATGCTGATGGGTCTGTATTTCTGTAGGAACTCCGGCTGGAAGGAAGAGGACCAGTGGGTTTTTCAGACTGTTGTCAGTCAGTATCCGAGTGGTCTCCAGAGGCGGCGGACTTTGTACCTCGACGTGCTGCAGAGATACCTTCCCCACAAATCTAGGCACGATCTGGTCAGTGCTGGTCTAGATACGAGATCAATTACGTAGGTTTGTACAGAAATCGCGTACTCAACGTGTCGACTGAAGGATGTTTAGCAGAGGTTTTGTTTTAAAACTTCTTCGTTACAAATGTTACTAAGAAGAATGTTATCCCTTCTGCCAGGGAAGAAGGGATGTCTCTGTCTCCAGAATGCATGAACTTGGAAACCTCTCTTCTTCAAAAGGAGCACTGCGGAGATTTTAGCCAAATTCACAGGAGTAGTTTGTTAGCATTGCTTTTGCTGTACGTTTTCTAGTTATGTCATGCTATTCTGCAGCTCCTGGTATTGTTATTTTTTAGGAGGATGTATAGCATCGTTGCCCTGTCTAGGAATAGTTATTTAATTGGTCTGTGGTGCATATATAGCAGGAAGAGTGGAAAGTTATCTCCTGCTTTCAGGGGGAGGCTATTTTTACATGCATAATGCCTTTCCCATTGATTGCTGATTCCTTCTACGCTCCACAGTGAGCAAGCACATCTCGGCTAATAGAGAAACCCATTTCAAGGCCAGAACACTTCAGGATGTATGTCATAAGTAAAGTAGGAGTCTATTTTTAGCTCTGCGTGTATTTTTAGACCATCTACTTCCTTGTGTTTAAGAAGTGCCTGGTGCAAAGGACTGACAGTGAAGTGATATTGATAATTAGTGTAGTTTCACCAAAAATGAAGTTCTTGAACTTTGGCCTGTGAGAACGGGGCTAAACAATCCTGTGCTTCGTACAACATAGGTGTATTTTAGGCATAGCTGTTATTAATGGGTCTCACAAATTGTTTGAAGGTTCATTTTATAGTTTAGAAATCATAATTCTGCATTGAATTGATATCTCTTGGAGTGTGTATTAGTGTGACAAATGCAGAAATGTTAAAACAGCACCAAGAATCTGTTCTTAAAGCATTTGTGCCACATTACAACACTAAACTTCAGCCTTCTATGCTTCTCCCTCTGAAGAAGAGGTCAGTGGCCAAGCACTGAGTGCTTGATGCAGAAGCAGCTCATCAGAGAGGTCTGGTTTTAGAAGGGCAGACTCCCCTCCCCTTTCTTGCCCATGGGTGTCCTCGCTTTGGGTGCTGGCTGGCACAGCTCACCTGAGTTTGGTAGCAGCAGTGGCAACCAGAGCTGCTGTTGCAGCGGCCCTTGTGCATTTGACCAAAGAGAAGCTCCAGAGTTGTGGTACCACTGTACCTTCATCCAGCCGCGAGCTGATGGGAATGCCATGAGCTGGGCACCAGGCGAGTCAGCAGCCCCCTGTTCCCAGCCAAAAGTCTGGAAATGAGCGCCAGGGATGGTTCCCTTGACAGCTGTGAGCTGACAGCCATTGCCACAATCTCCTGCATCCCAGTAACTTGCATTTTGGGGGATATACGACAGGTCCAGGACTCTACTGCCTCCGTCTGTGCAGCCTTACCTGGTGGTACTACTCTCAGAGCATCGAAGCTTGCATGTCCAGTGCCTGGGGGGCTACAAGAAAGCTGGGGGGGGACTTTTTCCCAGGGCCTGTAGTGACAGGACAAGGGGTAATGGGTTTGAACGGAAAGAGGGAGATGGAGATGGGACATCAGGAAGGAATTCTTCCTGGAGAGGGTGGGGAGGCACTGGGAGAGGTTGCCCAGAGAAGCTGTGGATGCCCCATCCCTGGGAGTGTCCAAGGCCAGGCTGGATGAGGCTTGGAGCAACTTGGGCTATGGAAGGTGTCCCTGCCCATGGCAGGGGGTTGGAACTAGATGTTCTTTAAGGTTTCTTGAACCCAAACCATTCCATGATTCTATGATGCCCTTGGTAACCTCACTGAGTAAGGCCGAAGAAGGTGTATTTAAGGTTAAACACCACCTTGGTGTGGCAGTATGCCGCTTGGCAAGCGAGAACCTATTTCCAGGTTTCCTGTTAGGAAGGCCAGAGCGAAGCTGGTGCTCATGTCCTGCATCTGTACAGGTGCTGTAGTCGGTGTTCTGTTTCTCCAGAGATCTTCACTTCCTACAGAGTGCCCCATCTTGCTGCAGGCGCTCAGCATCCCCGAAGACGTGTTGGAAGGACCCACTTGCCTGTCACGTACTTGAGGGCAGGAAGGAACCGTTGCGTTTTGCTCACTCCCGCTGCAGAAGCCCAGTTCAGGGAAGAGCAGGGGGACCTCAGGATACTGATGTTCCACGTGGTGCAGGCACTCAGGGAAAGGCTGGGGTGCTATCACCACCTACCGACACGGGGTCTGCAGCATTCCGGGCACCGCGCAGAATACTGCTGGGCCCTAAATTGAGATTCTATAGGAATATTGGTGATGTAATAACTAATTCAATTATATGCAAGGTTTGAAAAAGTGTTGTTTCCTTAATGCGTAGATTTTAACCTTTCTGCAATGCTTTCCTTTTCTAGGTTGTTCATGAGAAAGCTCGGGATCGTTACCGTTCCGTTAGGAATCAGCGCAGAGTCTTGATGCTGAATTGGGCTCAAGCTAGGAAAGCCTTCTTGCTGAAGGCAGAGGCGACTGTTGCGGAAGCCTCCGCTGCTCATGAGGCAGAAGCAGAGCTGGCTGATTCCAGACAGAAGCAACAGGAGATCTGTGCTGATCTGAAAGCAAAGGTAGGTTTGGGTGTAAATCTGCCAGATGCAAATGTGTTTTTTACTGGAAATTCAAAATGGAGTCAGTGTTCAAGTGAGGAAAAACTACCTGAAGCTAGTTGTTGGGATCCTGTTGTAACTGGCCTGATAGCATTGTTTTGGGCAGTTAGGGTAAAAAGCCAACTGTAATCTGTTGGCAGAGGTCAGCAGGTTTGTGAATCTCCGCTTGCACGTGGTTTGGCAGATGCTCTGATTCGTTACCAGGAAGGATCCTTGTCAGTGCTTCAGCCAGCTCCGGGATTTGGGCTTTTTGCTGATGAAGAATTTGACTGCCTAGCACACTCTAGGCCTTACTGTGAGTTTCCTGTTGTGGGTGTCATATCCGTGTAAACTGCAGTCCCATTTATTTTGATGAATTTTGAGCACCATTGAAGAGTTTGAACTGTATTTGGGTATTGGAGGAACAAGACTGGTTCTGCAGTTTCCAATATAGAATCACAGAACAGTTTGGGTTGGAAGGGACCTCAAAGCCCCCCCAGCGCCACCCCCTGCCATGGGCAGGGACACCTTCCATAGCCCAGGGTGCTCCAAGCCTCATCCAGCCTGGCCTTGGACACTCCCAGGGATGGGGCATCCACAGCTTCTCTGGGCAGCCTGTCCCAGTGCTCCCACCCTCTGCGGGAAGAATTCCTTCCTGATGTCCCATCGCAATCTCCCTCTTTCCGTTTAAACCCGTTACCCCTTGTCCTGTCACTCCCTGCCCTTGGAAAAGCCCCCCCAGCTTTCTTGTACACCACCACCCCCCTCCCCAGGCCCTGGAAGGGGCAATAAGGTCTCCCCGAAGCCTTCTCTTCCTGCTGGCACAGTCAAGGTCTGGCATCATGTTCCTTGGAATCCTTTGCAACACCGGCATATCACAAAATACCTCTGTGTCTCTGTCCCTGCCCTGACAAAGGGATTGGTATCTGGGCTGTCTGAGGCTTTGTCTGTCACTGCTTTTAACGCTGGAACCCTCAGAGGTGGAAGTGAACATCCGGTTCCTCGTCACTGCCCCCGGTTTGTGGATGGGTGCTGCTCTGTCTTCAGAGGAATAATGGATATTGCGCTTCCCTTCTGATCGTGTTTAAGGATGCGTTCTGTGAGCTGACAGAAATGGATCCCGTAGCCCGCGTGCCCGTGTTACGGAGGTTTTGCAATATTCTGAAAGGTGATCTACTGGGTTAAGAGGTGAAAAACAGCTAAAAATGCCTGGTCTTTTTTTGTAAGAGAAGAGCATAAGTGGGAGGGGCCTGGGCACGAGGGAAGCGTTAGGATGTTGCTGCCCAGGGCGTTTGCAAGGGGAGGCACATTTCTGGGCACAAGATGCACGTCAAGGTGTGTTTCAGCTGCTCTCGGAAGGGAACAGCTGAGAGTGCGCACGGTGTTCATCTCCCTTCACCAGCATCCCCTCTGCTGGACTCCTACTTTCCAGTGAAATGTTAAACACTTGGTTTGGTTTTCTAAAGTAGAAAAACCCAGTAAAACCTGTACTGGGATCAAGAATGTTGAACTTCATGCTGGTTTTCCACTGTACTAATAATACAGAAACCCTCTGCCTCCTGCTCCTGGAGCCATCTGTCACAGGAAGGCTGGAGTCCAAACCCCAGCGTGAGAAACTGTCCGGGCTTGCCTGGGTGGGGAGCACCCCGTTTTAGCTCCCATGGCACGCTTCCCTGAGCCCAGTGGGGTACGGAGCGGCTCCGGGGTGGATGCTTTTTCCCCAGGCCTCCCTCTCCGGAGTTGCCGTGTCCCTTACCTGCACAAGGAGGGGTAGAAGGGCCGTTTATTCCCGAGCTCTGAATCTGAGTCCGTCTTCTCCTGTTTTCCGTTTTTCCCTTCCCCCCGGGAGGTACCAAGCAGATGTTGCAGAACTGACGTTGTCTCCGTGTAGCTTCAGATTCTCAGTGATGCGCTGAACGTTGTCTGAAGGTTTGATGGGTTCTGACCTCCTGTTGTCAGTACCCTGGAAGTGTCTGGAACTCAAACCTATTAGCCCTGCACTTCTCAAAGGTGGCTTTGTTCAAATGTCGAGCGTTTGAACACAAGCAGTTCGCCTGTTCCCAGAAAAGCGGAACGGAAGAGGTACCTTTTTTCCATGGAAGGAGGATATCACTGTGACCTTGTTTTGATCAGCCCTGCAGCTGAAAGGGCTGGAGGACGACGTGGAAATCTGGCAAGGAGGTAGCTGGTGTTTGAAGAAGGCATTCTGAATGTGTCCCTGGCTTTGGTTTGGGTCCGACGGGCGTGTGCGTTTGAAAGCTCGTGCTTCACCCAGTTGTGGTGCATTTTACAGCCTTGTCTCTCTGCGCTTCTGGGTGTGCAACCACCGAACGTCCCACCGTGGAAAGCGGCCGTTGGCAGCTCTCCTGGGAGAAGGAATTCTGTCTAGTGAGTTAATTACTCTGATACAACCCCACCCTGACGAGGATCCGGGGGATGGGGTAAAATGCGAATCTGTCTCTAAGGGAGTGAGCGTAGAGCTGGAAATCAGGGATGAGAGCTGTTCTCCCACCACTTCTTCTGGCCGTTAGTTGACTTAAGTTCTTGTATTTCGGTAAATTTAGCATAAAGACTTCTTACTCGTAGCACTTTGCCGGAGGGAGAGTGTAGTTGCTCTAATGATTTGGCCGCGTAGTAAGCTCTTGCGTGGGAAGCGCTAGTATCCTGACGCGAGAGATGGAGGTCTCCTCCGTTACACCAGCAGGTTTCAGAGAAACTCAGGCCATTTCTACGCCTGTCTGCATCGGCTGGAAAGGAAGTTACGGCACACGGGAAGCAGCGCTACAGATGCAAGGCTCGTTAGATCCGTTTTGCAGGGAGGATATGCAGAAAGGCATTAAAATCCAAATGTGTTTTTAGGCGGCTGCTAGTGATGGAGCTGGGAGAGGAGCGGCCTCTGGATATGGCACCTTTCATTTAACCTCCAGTCAGCAAACCGTTTAGCTGATTGACTTGTTTGGTTTTGAAGGGATACCTTTCTGCAAATTTCTGTGCTGCTTGGAGTCTGTGGGGTTTTTCAAGTTTTTCTTCCTCTGTGTGTGAGAATCTGTGTGTTCCTAACTGTAGTACAGATGGAGCAATGCAAAAGAGAGAGAAAATGCTCACACGTGACCGCCTGGGCACTTCTGTTACCGCAGTAGCCACGTGGTATCACCCACCTTGGAGCCAGTTCTTCCTGGCAGCACCAAGCCCAGGGCAGAGCAAGCAGCCTGAAGAATACGTCACCTAAAGCTGGCTGAAGTGCACCAGGAGCAACGATGCCCTCAGTGAGACTCTAGGCCTTGTGACTGCCAAGGGGTGAGAGCAATTAAAAGGTAAAGCAGCTGAGAGGTTAAATTAATGTTTCTAGCAGTTTTCACCTTTCAAATTCCTATTCCGTGTTCCATCTCACAGAAGATCAGTGCGTGTCCTTAACAGAAATGGGCGTCTCTAAGGAGGAATTGTGAAACGGCTCAAGTGAAATAAATCACGAGGGCCACGCGGCAGTGATCTGGACGAAATGGAGTGTGAGGTGGCTCATGCCAGGGAGCATATGCTGCAGTCTTGAAGAGAATGAGTGACCGAGCATCACTCATGCTTGGTATGCTTGGTACTGGGGGGAATTCTCCACTTTTAGGGCTCTGTAGCAGATGCTGTGTAAAAGACTGTGTAACATTCCTCTTTCTAAGCAACACAGAGAAGCAGAGTCTTCTGTGTCAGCAGGTAGTTCAGTAATGAGGTGAGAGCGCGACCGTTGAAGAGGGGTAGTAGGGTGCTGCTTCACTTGGCTTCTGAGGGATTGAAGCACTTGCTGCAATCCATTTAGAAATTCTAAGTATCTGCATGCATTCAAAACATTATTTTTCTGTTGAATTCATCTTAAAAGGTCTATAACCCAGCACTCTCCACCCTCACATAAGGCAGTTTTTAAGGGACACTCAGTGGAGGACCTACAGCAGTAGGCAGAAGGACAGTGGAGTCTCCGTGTGTGACAGTGGGCTCGCTGTCCCGTAGCTCAGAGCCGTGTGCCTGCCTTCCTTCAGGTCTTTCCCCTGTCTTTTTGTGTTCCAAGATTAATCCTCACTCCAGTGCTAAAATCTTGCAACCACACATGGTGAATTTTGGGAGAGCAGGTCTTGCATTCCTTCTCCGGGCAGAAACACAGAAATTTCAAAAGGAAAGGTGTTGGGTGGAGTTAACTGGGATATTGTGAATCATGGGGAGGGTGTTGCTGCTGGCCTCCCTCTCCCTTCCTGCGTAATGAGAAGAAAGGACGTGTCAGTAAACGGGGGGCTGCTGGGGTGCCCTGCGCGGGAGGAGACCATGGACTGACTTCCCAGCTCTGAGATCCATTGAAACGACCCACAGCGCCCCAAGACTGCAACCAGTCAGAGGAGCAATGGTGCCTCAGGCTGAGGCGTCTTGCTCGCTGCCCTGGCTGCGAGGGTCACCGCGGCTGCTCGGATCTGTCTGTTGGAGACAGACGCCTGCTTGTCGGTGATCCCCAAAATCACTTGGGGCTGGACAGCTGGGCCAGCAGGCTCGCCTTACTGTCTTGGGAGAATTACCGTCCTCCTCCTGCTGGGAAAGTGGCGCCTCGGGCAAGCAAAATGCGTGACGCACGGTTGTTGCGAAAGCAGCGCAGGTCCAAGGGCTCTTGCGCGGCTGCGGAGGGAGCGAGAAGAGAGAGCGCCGTGTGGGAGGCGGCAGGTTTGTCGGCGCGGTTGCCTTGCCTAAGGTGATGCTGTGCGAGTGCTTAAGCCTGCATAACAGTTAAAGATGTCAACGCGACGCTGACGCTGCTGCCGTCGAGAAGAGAACGGTGCTGCGAGTAGTGCCGGCTGAGGGGAGGGAGGAAGTCCAGGGGCAAGCTGTGAGACGTGAACGCTGCACACGCTGTCTTGAGCGAAGACGTTGATGCGCCTTCAGCTCCAAGGAACTGCAGCGCGTCCTGTACTGGGTCACGGGTTCTGTAGGACCCAATCCAAGCCCTTGTGACTACGTTTCCTGACTGAAAGCAATGTGTCTTCCTACTTTCCAGGTTATCCCTGGGGATTATGCTTTTCTCTCCTATCCCTTTTTCAGATTTAAACACTCTTATAGCTGAAGAAAATCTCTACAGTTCTGTTAATGACCAAACAGTTACTTTTAACCACTGTCTGATTTTCAAATTAAAATTTTTTAGAGCCAGACAGGGATTTTTATGTAACAAAATGAATCCTAGTGCCAGTAGCCTTGCTTTTCTCCATTATTTCTTGCAAACCTCTTGGAGGTAGCCTGTGGAGCACAAGCTGCTCAAGAGTACGAGTCCAAAATCTGCTAGGGATGTGAACTGTCATTGTTCCCAGCCAGAATGAGATTATCGTCTGAGGTTAACAACAGACTTGCAAGTGTATCATTTCTTCATTATCCCATTGCCAAATACTCTAATACTGGACTTCTCATAGGCCTTGTAAGTCACAGAATCCCAGGATGCTGGGGTTGGAAGGGACCTTTGGAGACACCTCGTCCAGCCCCTGCCAAAGCAGGTTTACCCGGAGCAGGCTGGGCAGGAACTGCCTCCAGGGAAGGAGACTCCCCAGCCTCTCTGGGCACCCCCTTCCAGCGCTCGGGCACCTGCAGAGTGACAAAGTTTTTCCTCCTGTTGAGATGGAATTCCCTGCGTTCCAGATTGTGCCCGTTGCCCTTGTCCTGGCACTGGGCACCAGCGAGTCGGTCAGAGGCAGAACACTCGTAGCTTCTACCCCTCGCTGCTTTGGCATTCAAGACCCCGTGGCATCTGGAGGTGGTTCTGGGTGCTGTTAGAATCCCCAGTCTAGGGGAGAAGGAACAGGTTTTCAGAGCTGAAAGCTATTGGAGGCTTCACACACCTTCTAGTACCGTCCCAGTACCCGGCTGATGTCAGCACCTGGTTGATAACCACAGTAACTTCAGGGGTCAGCTGAGGTGCTGCACTCTCCGTAGAGGTGACACATGACCGTGGAGCTCAGCCTTGTCCCTAGGGAAGGTGAGCACCGTTCTTGTTGCTGGAGTGCTGAGTGACCTGCTGCTTCAGAGTGTTTGCTGCCCTAGCACCTCTGTCGCAGGGGGGCTGTTGGGTTTCTCTGTTTAGGGTTGGGTGTTAGCATGGATTTGGAATCCTTCGTGTGCATCGTGGAGCTCAGGGCTGGCAGAGTTTTAAGCGCTGCATCCTGGAGCACGGGCAGCAGGCTGGCTGATCAGTGACCCCTCACCGCAGCTCCCTGTGCTGCTACCACCAGCTCGGGTGAACAGCACCCATTCTTGCTGAGGATTTCTACTTGGTCGTCACGTTCGGTACGGAGCCCCCTCGTAAATCTGCACTTCCACAGGCAGCCGGTCACTGACGCGCGTGCTGTTGTCAACCCGCTGTCAGCTCATAAGGTTACTGACACCGGAAGAGGAAAACAATTCGTCCGGTGCTTAGAAAAAGGGCTTCCCAAATGTAAAGAATGATGGCTTTTTCACATCCTTCCAACAAACTCCCCCTGCCCCACAGTATTTCAGACTCCAGGGAGCTGTTCTGAACATACATGCTCTTAATAATACATTCACACCCTGAGGCACCCATCCCATTTTCTCTCCGTTTAGGAATACATGCACGCACTTTCTAGTCTTACTTTATTTCCAAGAATAACACTGTTAATAATTTATACTTCAGTGTGTGGTGGGTTTGATTAGTGCCAGTGGGTTTTTTTGAGTCATCAGTAGCAGGTTTGCTATATACCCCAGCTTCCTTGGAGATGTCAGCTTTGTTGGGGCAAAATTTGCCTGGGATATCCAAAATGGACCCAAACCAGTCTGTGATTCTATGATTGTTACTTAAGCAAAGCAGCAGGGAAACACGGCATCGCTCAGGGAAGCTGCTCCCTGAGAACCTCCGTGCGGGGAGCGCTGGGTTTCTGGGCAGAAACCTTTCGGAACAGAATGTGAAGAGAAGCGGTGCACAGCTGGTGAGATGCAGTAAAGGTGGGGAAAATATAAGTAGAGTATCTTAATATCGTAGTATTGGAGTACTTCCTGTAGTGTGGAGAGCCAGACCAAGAATGGCTGTTCCTCTGAGGAACAGAGCTCTGTCGGCACTTGACAAATGCGCTGCACAGAGCTGCCGAGCCAAGAAAAGGGAGACGTGGTTAATCCCACTGAAGCCAGCGTGAGACAACTGCGCGTACAACGGCTCTTGACAGCACTGGGTAAATCGGGGACCACGCTGCAAACCCTGGAAGTAAGGCACTAGCAGCTACTGGGGACGCGTTGGCTTGTTTAACCAATGCAGTGTGTCTGGAAGAGGCCAGGAGCGGAGTTTTGGCACCTTGAGCTAAGTGATCCATCCTGTCCCCGGCATGTTTTGAGGAAGCGTGGCAGGCCCTGTAACGAGAGGTGCCATGGAGCTGGTCCCTGCCGAGCTTCCCCACACGCTTAACCAGGGTCCTGGAAGCTGCCGGGAGCTGAGCTGCAGCTGATGTCTCTCTTCCCACAGAAGAGTAGGATGTCAGAGCATTATAGGCACTGGTCCAGCCCGGGAGCGGGTGCCAGGGCTCCTGGGCTGATTTCCCGCAGTTTGAGGGCTGACAGAAGATGAAGTCTCCGTCACCGGAGTCCCATGATTTCCAGAGTCCTGGTTGGAGGCGAGTGCTGTTATGGAAACGCCTGAGCTGAAGGATGCATGCGGACTCGGCTCTGTTAGCGTTGGCCTCCATCCGTTCATAGGTTCATCCGGAAATTTCCACGTCTGTGTGCTGCAGGGGAATTTAAGATCTGGCGTTACTGAGCTGGTTTGGGCATTTTGCCTGAAATCTCTTCATACGTGGTTTGATCGTGCGCTGTGCCAGGCGGCTGCGAACTGATAATTAACGTGCGGAAGGGCGGTGCTTACTGAATGGTCAGGAGTTGCTGACGGGAGCGTAGATCTTTGTAACGGGGTTGTTACGCGGGTTTCCTCCCCAGTCTCAGTCTGGCAGGATCCCAGAGTTACACTGCTGCAGGACTCTCCTTCCAACCCTCTCTTCCAGGTTCTACAGTGGAAAGCACAGCAGGAAGAGGCTGCGGAACTAGAGGCTGCTGCAGCTGCCAGAAGAAGAGAAGAGAGAGAGGAGAAAGAAAGGCTGCAGAAAACCCGGGAAAGGATCCGCAGAGCTCAGGAGAGACAGAAAGTACGAGAAGCTTCTGTACCCTTTGCATAGGTTAACGCGTACCATTGCCTTCGGAATCTTCACCTGCGCCCGTTGCCGCGTGGTGTGGCATACTGGATGTCGGTGTGGGGATGAGCAAATGGTTGGTGGAGTCCTGCCGCTGCCCATTCTGCCTGCTCCTACGCGCCATCGTGGTGCTGCGTCACACCAACGGGCGCACCCGGGGCAGTGTGTGTCACGAGAACCAGCCCAGGGGCACTCGGGGAGTTGCAAGTCTCCCAGGTTTGTGGCCGGCTGGGAAAGCTTGCGGCGCTGCAGTTAAGCGTGCCGTGGTGCGGCAGTTAAGCGTGCAGTTAAGCGTGCCGTGGTGCGGCAGTTAAGCGTGCAGTTAAGCATGCGGCGGTGCTGCAGTTAAGCGTGCTGCGGTGCAGCAGCGAGCCTTGGCGTGTGCTTGCGGGGCCGTGGGCTGCACGTGGCAGCACGAGAGCCTTGGGAGAGGGGCTGAAGCACAGATTTAACCGTTTCAGGGTATCGCAAATCTGCCTGACGTTATTCTGGGCGCTTACACAGCGACTACCTGGGAAACGGCTTTGATGTGTAAGTGTAAACTTCAGCTTAATAGAAGATCAGCAATCCACTCCAGTAACTGTACTGCTTCCAGAAAGTCACGCCGTGTCGACCTTTTTATTGGAATGATACGGCAAAAAATCCAGGAGGTTGTTTTATTTAAATTTTGCCTCTTTTTCTGAGTGTCTTTTACACTGAAATCTGGCTTGCTCAGAGAACAACTCACCTGTGGGGCATTCCTTCAGACTGCGTAACTGTTTCTGGAAGTAGTAAGTTGGAGAATTCCACGGGAGACCCCTGCAGACCCCATGTGGTACTGGCTCCAGCATCCGTGACCAGTACCTGCTCCAGTTCCCCTCACTCCGGCTTAGGAGGGCGGTGCTGGAGTCCTGCTGTGGAATCCCAGCACAGTTCAGCTGCTCCTGAAATTGAATTTAAAAATTCTGGAGTCAGCACTTCAAAGATGAGGGAGTGACTGGTGTTGCTGTGCCTGAAGCCTGCTCTGTCAGCTCTCAGGGGGCTGGTGGCCCACGAGGTCAGCTGGCGTCACCATTCGGAGCGTCGGGCAGCGTACCACCGCGGCGTTTGCAGCGTGTGTCACGCAAGGGGGGTGTACAGGCCCGGGGCACATCCCACCGGCTGGCTCTGAAGAGCCCTGGGTTCAGGAATGGGACCCTTTTTTTCAAGTGAGGAATTCAGAGTTTCACCGCAGCAATATTTACTTTAAATCCCAGTTCCTCATTTTGCATCCCCAAACCCTCATTTTCCAGACAAGCTTCCCTGCTCGGATTTCCAAGTCTTGCTGAGGCCTTGGAAAAGCTTCGTATGTGGGTGACAACCAGCCGTACGCTGCGTCCTGTTCCTCGGCGGGCTCTCCCCTCAGCCAACACGGAGCGGGCTGGTGTGGATCCCACGGATCCAGCCGTTGGCACTGTCCTAGGACGCTTTCACCCCAGGAGCATTGACTCGAGCAGCACAGCTGAAGGTGCTGATGGCAGGGCAGGAAGCAAGGAGCTCACGAGGGTGGCAGTCCCCAGTTCGCAGAGTTGAAAGTTACATTCCAACTGAAGTGTCCAGACCCTGACTTCACCCTTTCTGGTGGGGGGCTCCACACCCTCTTGTTCTCCCAGTAAATCTTTTGTTAGAACACACTGTTCTAAAATACAAATCTTATTCTAAAAAGATCACGGTTGGGTTTTCTTTAACACTTGGTTCATTCTCGCTGCCTCGGCTGCTGAGTGATTGTTTGGTTTACTGTGTTGTCAAACTCCAGGTGAAACAGTACCGGGCTGAGAAACAGCTCAAGTGGCAGGAGCAGGAGGAGAGAGACCTGCAACGTCTGGAGGAATTAAGAAAATTAATGGCTGAGCAAGCAGTTAAAGACAGAGAAAGGTGAGAAATGGAATGTGCATACCTGCCCCTCAGTAGGAACTCCTTGTGGTCTGACCTGCTGTGTTCTCCCAGCCCTCTAAATGGGAACAAATTGAGGTAAAGTCATTTTTTCCCTCCTGTTTGGCAGCTCCCCCGTCCGTATGCCAGGGTCACATCGCGATTGTGTCCTGCATGCAGTTTATTTGTTAGGCTAAAGGAACTCATGTCCATCAAGGTTTTAGGCTTTTGTAAGCGCTAAGCCGTTGTGGTCGTGGTGGGGCGCGCGGGTTTGGAGCAGCTCCTCCGCGTGTCCGAGCGTCGCTGGGTAGCACGGCCTTCTGCATTCCCGCTTGGCACAACCATTAGCGTCAGGCTGGTTTGGTTGGGTAGGCGCCGCCTCTGAGAGACTTACTGTTCTTTCAGAGGGTCCGAAACTGTGCAGGTGGTTGTAGATGTTCCTCACCTGTTGATGTAGTTTAGGACTTCAGCCTGGCACGTTTCAATCCGTGCCAAGCCATCTTTGCAGCCTGGGGCCTTGATTGGCCTGTTGAAGAAACACTTGATCCCACAGAGGAATTCCATGGTTACAGAGGAGCACGACGACCCTGTCCGTAGTCTGGTTATAACTGCTCCAGTCACAGCCTTACCTTTTTTATGTGGAGGGAGCCACCAAATTGCATGGGCCAGAAATGTCACTAAAATAGGGCTGAAGTACCATTGGCATTGGAGTATGAAACTTGGTCTTGAGGATTCTGGGGGAAACACGGCCTCGATCTCACTTGGTTGCGGTGCCTTGCTGGCAGCTAAGTTCAGATGCCTGCGTCCTCACGCCGCAAGTGCTTCTCTGCCTTTCGTTACACCTACGTGCGATGATTTCAGCTCACAGCAGCAGCACCACAGCCTTGCACTGCTGAGTTTTCAGCAGAACTGGTCAGGACAACGTGGCTCCTCTTTAAGGGGCGTGCTGCACACTGCCGTACGGCTGGGGACGCGCTTTGCCGCGGGGAGACCTCGCGGGACGACATACAGGGCAGTGGCAGAGCTCACTGAGGCGTGCGGGAGGGGAATACTCACACCTTCGGGCTGTTAGGAATCCCAGAGTGGGCAGTGCTTAGCGTTATGTTCCCGGAGTTGGCGTAGGGTACAACATGAAACAGTTTAAAGAAAAATGCTTACTCTTTGTGGAGATTAATAATTCTTTGAAATTACCTAATGCCTTTCATCTTCAAAGCCTTCAGCAACGTTAAAGCGGGGCAGAGAGCTGCTCCTGCTGTAAGGTACCGTAGTGCTACGGGTATGGTACACGGCGTTTCAAAATCCCGGTTGTACTGGGCGCAGGCGGAGCGGCTGCCATGCCCATTCCCCAGTACTGGGGTACCGATGGCCGGTACTGCTGCGTGTTTCGCCTGCTGTAGCGCGTGGATTGGTTTGGTTTGGAGTCTCTGCAGAACTGAGCAGGAAAGACAGCACAGCCAGTAGCACGGTTCTGATCCGATACGTTTTCAGGTTATTGGGGAAAGGAAGACGTTTTTGGATCGTGGGCTGAGTATTCCAAGTACGAGGTAGAGCCTGGGTAGTGCACAGAGTTTCTGGGAGGTGCAGTAAGATGTTAGAAATGGTCTGCTGTTATCCTGAATGCTTTTCAGATTAATATAAAATTAGGTAATCAGGTTTATAAACCAGCAAATCATTATCAGAGTCACTGTGGTGCTGCTAATTCAGGTCTCGCTTTGTAATTGCAAGAAGCTGAATAGCCAGAGCTCTGACCAGGTCCAAGAAAAGGATTAAGGGCACCTGAAACTGGCTGCAGAATTTCAAGTGACTACGTCCACATTTGGTTCCTACAGCTCCTGCTTAGCGACTCTGACAGTTAACTGCTGGGATGTGCCGTGTTTTGGCCCGGGAGCGCCTGGGTAGCTGCGTGTGTCTTACACTGTTGCCTTCGGAGCAGCTGGCTACCCAGCTGTCCTGGGGTCCGGCAACTCGGCCCCACACGGCCGCTCGCTCACGCCTCCCCCATGGGGTGGGGGGGAGAAAATATAAGGAAAG